TAAATAGAAATATACTAGGTAGAATTAAGAATATGGGTATTAAACAAGATATTGTTCATCTAAGAAACTTTGTACTAATTATATTGAAGAGTTGTTTCCTTTCTTAGGTTAGAAGTTCCCCATACGCAGGTGTTGTTTGCAGTTGTACTAATTATGTTGAACACCTTAGCTTAAGCATTTGGTCCAACATTTGTCCTGTTAAGAACAAAATTTCAGCTTTGGGTTTTCTTCCTTGGTAAGTAAAATGCTTATCTTCGTCACTTGATGGGCTGAAGGGATTATCCTGACTTCCTTCAAATCCTTAGAGGGCGTGAGTATCTCATTTTCAACACCCGACATAGGATCCCAACAATCAATGTTTTCATATGGAGCTTCAGGGAGGGAGGAACCCACAAGGGCGAGTTATTCCTTTTCCATCGCCAGGCTTCTCTAGTAACACTCTTGAGCGCTTTACTGGTATCCTCGAATTCTCTCGACCCGCCTGTAGCAGGAAAATTTATGAGTGTAAGCTATTGATTAACTTAACTCATAAAGCAAGAGTCGCCATCGAACTTTTATTTTATCCAAAAGGAAAGGAAAAAGAGCGAACAAAACCTAAAGAGTTCTAAAACAAGAACAAACAGAGAATGGGTAAGGGGGTTGGTTACGCAAAGGGAAGGTGTTAGCATCCAAAACATCTATATTACTCTATAGAACCTCTTTGAAATATTGACACTTTTTGGTTTGAAAAAAGTTTGTTTGAAATGAGATTGAGGAGGTGAGAGGAGAACTATTTTTAAGATTTTTGTGTTTGGAGACACTTATTGCCTCATGTCTACGTACCCATAAAGTGCAATATAGGATCAAAACCTCATAGTTCGTGGTAAAAATAACAAAAAATGATTTTTTTTATTGATTTTTAAATGTAAAGACAAGTCGTCATTTTTAGGAGAAAACTACGACTAGTCGCCCACAAGTATAAGACAACATTTACATCATCTAAAAATGGAGGATTTTGCTTGGATTAAAATCGACAAGTCTATCACTCAACATCTATGTGGAAAATGACAACATCTTAAATACTATGGGGAATAGGAGAATTACATCTCAACTATGAAAGTGACTCGTGTCTAAACTTTATGAAATTTTTTAAATGAAAAGTGCACAAAGGCACAAAAAGTTTGAATGAGTTGAAGTATTTTTTATATCTTTTTAAAATTAGTTAAAGTGTGATTAACATTGATTGACTTTTATTAAATAATTTTTTTTTTGAAAATCACTTGACCAAAGTCAAGGTTTTATTATGAAAGCAGTTTTAAGTTTGAAAACAAGACGGTTTTTGAAAAAGGGAGGAGCTTTGAAAATTTAAGAAGGGGAGGAGATGAAGTAACTATCCTAAAGCATAAAGTAAAAAGTTAGAGATAAGAAGGATCTAACTGAGTTGTAGCATACTTCATAGCAAACGAAAGAAGAATTCCATCCGTTTTGGAGGATGAACAAATGAGCAAGTCAAATAAAGACAAAGATCCATAATACTCCAAGCATAGGGAGATAGTTCTAATTCTAAGTCCAAGGGTCTAAGAATAATTCAAGAGGTCCAAGGTCTAAGTCCATCCATAAGCATAACCACAAAATTAAGAGCATCAATTTTTTTTTAAAGGTTTAATCCTTTATTAGTGTTTTGAACAAGATATGGTCCAAGTGGACAAAAGGAAAAAAAGAAGAGCGGAAGCATAAACCATAATATGATATGATATGATAATAATGAAGCATAAAAATAAAAGAAAGATAAGGAGTGAGAAGGAAACATAAACAAAATTAGTACAATTATATTGTTGGTAAGTTAGTGATTAGTTGTTAGAACAAATGATCAACAATGGTTAAATAGTGCACTTAGGCCAAATTTAATGAAAACTCATTAGAGGATTGATAAAACCAAAGCCTCCTAACAACAAGTTTCATAAGTAATATACCTAAGACAAATAATCAACTATACTTGGACTTTCAAACATAAGTTTGAGCCACAAATGATCATTTTCTGATACAGGACACAAGTGGCGCTATGTTAAACAATCGTAATCAGGTTTATGTAGAAACCACGACTATCGGAGGACGGTTAATAAATTTTTTAATGCATGCTAGAGAAGTGATATGTAGATCACTCTCTGAAAGCAATACCGCACGAAAAGAAAAGTGGTAACAATCTCATCTTCATCAAGAACTTAAAATAAGTTCCAATGATATCGAAGATTTTCATCGATCAAAAGAAAAAGGAGAAGAGGAGAGGGAAAGCCAATTGAATTACAATTTCAAGGTCATTCCATCTTTAAGTTCATCCATTCATTTTGGTGGATTAAAGCACTAAACATATCATTAACTCAAAGCACCTAAAATGAATTGTACAATTCAATTTAAAGATAGATTTGAATTAGTGAATGTTTATCCAACTTCATCTACCCTCTAAGTCCAATGAATTTAAAGAGGAATATGATCTTTGAATGTGTAATCCAAAGAAAAAACCAAAGGGAAATGAAAGAAGAAGAGAAAAGAACCAAAAACGATCCCAAAACAGAGCCAAAAACACAATCTGGACACAGGGTAATCGATTACCCTAATGCTGGTAATCGATTACCACTGCAAAAACAGCAAAAAAATAGTTTGAAAATGTGCAAAAACTTGATCAATCATTTCTTCAAACACCTCATGATCAAGGATGCAATTGTATACAAAAATTTAAGTAAAACAACCACAAATAACACCAACGGAACATAGTTTTCAAGATCCAAAGATCAGGAAACAAGAATCAACAATAGATCACACCGTGAAGGATGAATCAAGCACAACAATGGTGGATCAAGAATTTACCACTTCAAATATGAAAATCCTCAAATCAACTCCAAAAATCACACTCCAAAGCCTTGATCTACAAAAATTGATGATGAAAAAGTGAATGGATGGAGGTCTAGCTCAAATATTAGTAAGTTCTAATGATGAACTTACTAACTTTCAATGGAAGAAAGAGCTTTAGTGAATTTGGTAGTTGGAGAAAATTGAGAGAGTCAAGAAGAAATTTGACAAGGTGAATTTGGCTATCAAAAGCTTGTGAAATGAATGAGATGAGACCTATAATTATAGGATTTAGGATTTGGCTATCAAAAGCTTGTGAAATGAATGAAATGAGACCTCTATTTATAGGATTTAGGCTTGGAAATTTTGGTGGATTGGAGTTTGGTTTGGAACCAAAATTAGGCTTGGAATTTGAATTTGGAGGCAAAATCAAGATCAAGTGGTAATTAGTGAAGGTGTATGGTGGGAATTAATTATGATGAGGTAGGAGAATTAAAATGAAGTGATCTAGAATATTCTCATGATGAAATATTTGAAAATTAGTGTCAAAATGCTGCAGAATTTGAATTTGACACATTTTCATAAAAAACGCACTAGTTAATCGATTAACCTTGGAGTCTCTTGAATAATTATCTATTAAATCTTGGAAACCCTTTATTAGATGATTTTGGATTGTTTGCATATCAACTTTGACTTTGTTCAGATGAAATTCATTCGAGCTGAGGGATTAGTATTTGATATCCTTGATCCAAATTCTTTCTGAAAAATTTAGTAAAGGAAAAACAAACACTTTTTTTGGATTTTAGTTAATGGTTAGTAAACATAAACATAAACATAAACAAATATCAAATAAACAAGAAAACATGAGCGCTTGGTGATCTCTCTCAAGAAAAAACATACAGAGGAAGGCAAGAGAACTAAAACTTGCAATCTTGTTTGTGGAATGAAATGAAAATGATATGTGGAATCTTAGGGGTAAAAATTAGGGTATTACACCGCCCTCCATGCAACAGATACTTCTGGCCCAGATACCAGGTGGAAATAACCATCTCCAACGGATTGATGACGGGTCAGCCTAGAATGATGTTGTAGGGTGACAAGGGGTCTACTATGAGATAGTTGACTTTGATCGCCTTGACATTTGTTCCCTCGCCACATGTTGTTTCTAAGGTCACATGGCCGTTTACTTGTATCTGTTCACCTGACAGTCCTACTAACGAACCCTATAAGGTTTTGATGTCGTTGGGATCGAGCTAAAGCCTCTAGAAAGCATCCTAGAACAAGATGTCACATGAACTCCCAGGATCTATCAGGACTCGTTTGATGTCCCAATAACCATGTTGCATAATGAAAACCAATGAGTCATTATCACGAGGGAGGATTCCAGCAGCATCACTGTAGGAGAAAGACGTTAATTCACGATTCTCCCTATTCCTTATTGAGGCACCCTGAGGCTATGATATTCGTCGTGAGCACCTATCTGCGTATTTCTTTTGGGAGGAGTTGGAACTTCTTCAACCGAAGAAACCTCATGCTATAGTGTTGGCTCTGGAATGTAGAGTTTTGCAAGCCATCCTTTGATGAAGATGGAAAGGATGATGATGAAAGAGGAGTTACACATATTAGTTTTATCGGAGTTCCATGGTGGACGCCACTGTACTGGTAAAAAAAAATACATGTGTACGTGGTATCACTACACGGTTAAGGAATACACAAAGACCTTAGTAGTTATATAATGGTTAAGCCTTTCCCGCGACGACGAGAGGCTATGTGTACGAAGTTGAAGTTAGTTTCAGTTGAGTTGTGAACTTTTTAAAGAGATTCTATTTAAATATAAATTGACTGTGAAATATGTGTATGAATGCCTCTTTTGCCATAGCTTAATCATGAAAATTATGAACCCTTATATTATAAACTATCTTGCACATCCTAAAAAACAACCTTGTTGGAGGTAAGTTAGTTTCACTTGATCAACACCACATTGATCCTCAAATGATAATTCAGAATGAGTCAACAATATTAAAAAGATAGTTTATGTAGTACAATACAACCTCGATTTGAATCATAATGCCCCTACTATTCGTGCTTGCCATTATTATCATCATCATTATAGTAACTGAAAGGACGAGGAACTAACTTGAATGTACAGTATTTTCAACTGACATGATTGCAGATTTGTAGAAACGAAAGCAGGTAAAAGAAGAAGAAAATACGATCAATGAATGAATGAAAGAATAGGGTGAGATTTGTGAAAATAATATAGCAAAAATGGTGAAAACGAAGCCATAGATCGATGATACCATGTAAAGTCTAGAATATGAACACCACACTAACTTACATTGCATAATGAAGAAAGAATTTTTACAACAAATCTATCTTGCAATGACTAAGCTCACCAAATTATGTACTACTATCTAAAGTTAGTTACAACAACTAACTCTCACACTACTAATCACAACTAGATGCAAGTTAGTTATTGCTAAACTAAACTAAAGATAATATGAAGAGTTCAACTGACTTGTCGAGCAATCAATTGCCTTAACCATCATCCATCTTCATGCTTAACAAGAGAGGAATTTTAAAAAACTTAAATTATAAGATCCTTAAATTTACGTCAGGGTTGAAAAAACCTTTAATTCTAAAAATAATTATTCTAGCTAGAAAGTGCAATACATATGTTATAGATGTGAGGTGAAGAAGAAACTTAGTGAAGAATCTTATATATATTAGTCAACAAAAGAATCTCTTTTATATGCTAAAACATAAAACAGTAAAGATCGTTTAGTGTTGATCCCATTCCACCCATATCCTTTTTTAGGTAGCACTATCATTTTCCAAACTTTATTGTCAATATATTGTTCAAAAGAGCCATTATATTACGTAAAGAATATATAAAAGAAACATTACTATATTCAAAATTTTATAAAGGAAACACTTTCACTGTTCTTGTTTGAAAAAAAAAAGTTTATACTTGAGCAAAATCCAAAGAAAAGAAGCTCATGATAATTGCGGTCATATGTGATACTTCTATTTTAGACATTTTAATACATCTCTTTTTGAACATTTCGATTTTAGATATTACGATCAGAGCTGATAATTGATACTAAATAAATACTAAATAAATTTGAGAAAGTGATATTTTCCTTGCAAGTTAGTTATTCTCTAGTGTGTGAAAGTGAAAGAGAATAAAACACTCTCATCTTATTGCATTTCTTTTCTACCCTCTTAGTTAAATTAAACACTCACCAACACCACACATTCAACTTCTAGCTTCATATACTATTTTCTTTTGAATTCTCACCATTCATTCAATTGGCCCTCAATTCTACACCACATTCAACACCCCACAAAGCTCATTGTAGCTATGGAATCTTCATCGTCATCAATGGCACTTCCCTCATTGAAACCATACAACCTTAAAAACCCAACAACAACCTTAATTCAATCATCATGGGCTTCTTCCTCTAAACCCAACACTCTCACTTTAGTTTCCTCAAAACCTCCACTCACCACAAAGTTTCAATCTTTCTCATTACGTTGCTCCACTAAACCAGACACAAATACAAACAGTAACACTCACAGCAAACAAAACAATGAACCCGATTCACTTTCCAAACAATCACAACCACAAAAGGATAATGAATCATTTTCATCTTCATCACCTTCTTCAGAATCCTCTTCTACAACTTCTTTGTTTTCAAGAGGGTTGGTTTTTGATTTGGGGTTCTCAAATTCATGGGATAGTGAAGACATTGGATCACCAGTAGTGAAAAGGTTTCTGAGTGATGAAGAAGAGAGATGGTACATGTGGTATCATGGAAGACCAAAAGGTAAACCTTCATCTGATTTAATAGGTTTAGCAATTTCAAGCAATGGTGTTCACTGGGAACGCGGCGGTGGACCTGCAAGATCGAGTTCTGATGTTGGTTTCGTGATGAATTGCGGTAAAGATTGGTGGGGTTTCGATACTCGCGGAATTAGGCCTTCTGAATTGTTAGTCATGTCTAGTTACAGAGTTAAAGGTTCCAATGCTGTTTATTGGCTTTATTACACCGGTTACGGTTCCGAATCTGTAGAGTTTTGTGATCAATCTTTGGATTATAGTTTTGATAACCCAATTGGTTTGAATGATGAGAATTTCGGTAAAGGTAAGATTTTGAAGTCATTACCTGGTTTAGCCATTAGTCAAGATGGTAGGCATTGGGCTAGAATTGAAGGAGAGCATCATAGTGGAGCATTGATGGATGTTGGTAAAGAGAAAGATTGGGATTCATTGTTTATATCTTCACCACAAGTTGTTTATCATGGAAATGGTGATTTAAGGATGTATTATCACTCATTTGATAAAGAAAAAGGTGAGTTTTGTGTTGGCATGGCTAGGTCAAGAGATGGAATTAGGTGGTTGAAATTAGGGAAAATAATGGGTGGAGGTAAAGTTGGTTCTTTTGATGAGCTTGGAGTGATGAATGCTTGTGTGACAAGGAACAAGAGTGGTGGGAACTATGTGATGGTTTATGAAGGTTTAGGTGTTGATGGAAGGAAGTGTATTGGTGTGGCAATTTCACCTGATGGGTTGATGGAATGGGTTAGGGTTCAAGATGAGGCTATTTTGATGCCATCAGATGAAGGTTGTTGGGATGATAAAGATGTTGAGTCACCTTGTTTGGTTTATATGGATAATGAAGAGAATGAGTGGAGATTGTATTATAAAGGTGTTGGAAATGGAGGTAGAGTTGGAATTGGAATGGCCGTGAAAGGTTTTAGAAGTTTTAGAAGATGTACTGGTTTTCATTTTTAAAATTAATTTAGGTATTTTCTGCGCGCAATTGCAAATACTAATTTTTTGAGTCTAAGAGGACCATAATAAGCAGCATATCTCTTTGTCAAGAAGAATTTAACATTGTTTCGTGTTCAGTGTTTAGTTTTGTTTGTGCTAAGTTTGAATTATGTAGGTTTGTAATGAAGCAATGTATAACCTTACATTTCAGTATAGTGTAAGTATCAACGCCAAAGCATATGAAACATTAGATACACTTTTGTTTGAAGTTTTAGTATCATATATGTAAACATATTTTTATTGAGGTTCAACGAAATGTTAGAGAATGAAAGAGTCACAAAAAGAATCAGTCGATACAGAACTTGAGAATTACAGCTTTAGATATTTGTTCACTATAAGAGACAACTCTAGCAATTCTTATCTGCCAGCTCCAACAACTGCTGTCTCCCAACACCAGACACCAATCCAAAATTTGCCCTCAAAACCAAGTCCATCCCAAATCATTCCAACCACCCATGTCTGATACTTTTTTCGATTTTCTCTCAACATAACTAAATAATTCAGCATACTGCTCACTAAAAGAAATAGAACCCAATCAATTCGACCTTCAAAAACCTAAAACCACACCATTCCCACCTTTCCTCTAAACTCACCTTTTAACGCACTTCTGAATTCATTTTAGATAAAACCAATCTTCTTCAAATCCCTCCACCATAACGATTCTCTCGGTTCCCCCGGTCTATGAACACCTTCATTAAGAAAGCCTTTAACATCTCTATATTTGAAGGATAAAAGGTCTTGTGAAATTGCATCCTTCTCATTGAGAATCTTCTAATGCCACTTAATTAAAAGAGCATAATTAAAAATTTTGCAATGTTTATGACAACAGGAAACTTGCAGCTACTTATACTATATACCCGTAGGGGTATATATTGAAAATAAAACCAGAAGCACCTTTCTTCCTTTTTTTTATGACAGAAGGACTATTTTTATTTCACTCTTGCTTCTTTTTTTTAAAAATGAGAATACAACCAAGTCTTTATATAGACCCAAGACTCTACTATTCTAGGAATTAAAATCTAATTCAATTCTTATTAATACACCATTAACCTCCAGGCTTTTCATAACTGACATCTCTTGGCCTTTCATAACTGACATCTAAAATTAAAACTTCCTTAAAATAACATTTAAGATTTATTCAACAAATCTCCCCTGTAAACTTAAATGTTTCTACCATCTGTCATGCCTATTAATTTCTTTCCTCTGTCGAAAACTTCTTTCGATAACGGTTTTGTGAAAATATCTGCTGCTTGATCCTTGCTTGCTACATGCTTCAATTCGACACTTTCTTCCTTCACATGTTCTTGAATAAAATAAAAACGAACATCGATGTGTTTGCTTCTTTCATGATTCACTGAATTCTTTGCTAACTCAATTGCTGATTTGTTGTCCACTTGTATTACTGTTGCATCTATCTGTTTTAGCTCAATTTTGCTCAACAATCTTCTAAGCCATATTGCATGACAAACACTCCAAGATGCTACCACATATTCAGCTTCACATGTCGAAAGCGTTACTATCGATTGCTTCTTGGAAAGCCAGGTAAATGCAGTGTTTCCCATAAAGAACACATATCCTGAGGTACTTTTTCGATCGTCTATATCTCCACACCAATCACTGTCAGAATAACCAATCAACTTGTAATCTTCTATTCTTAATTAAAACATTCCAAGTGACACAGTTCCTTGGATGTACCGAAGAATTCTTTTCAATGCCTTCCAATGTGTATAGACCGGTTCCTCCATGAAACGACTTACAATTCCGACACTAAGCGAAAGATCTGGCCTTGTACATGTGAGATATCGAAGACTTCCGACCAAACTTCAATATTTGCTTGCTTCGACACGTTCTCCTCCATCAAATTTCGACAACTTTGCACTTGGTTCCATTGGCGTCGAAATCGGATTACAGCTTCCCATCTTATATTTTTTCAAGATTTCTTTTGCATATTTCTCCTGTGAAATAAAAATTCTCGTTTCTTCTTGTCGAACCTCCAAACCAAGGAAGAATTTCATCAGACCTAAATCTGTCATCTCAAATTCACGTGTCATTGTACCCTTGAAGTCTTCTATCATGTGATTATTGTTACTCAAGAAAATTAGATCATCAACATAGAGAGCAACAAGTAACATATTACCTCCATTCTTCTTTACGTATAGAGCATGTTCGTACGGACATTTCTTGAAACTATTCTCTTTGAAGTATGTGTCGATGCGTGTATTCCATGCTCGTGGTGCTTTCTTCAACCCATAAAGCGCCTTCTTCAATTTTAGCACTTTTTCTTCTTTTCCAACTTTCATGTATCCGGGTGGTTGTTCGATGTAAATTTCTTCTTCAAGCACACCATTTAGAAATGCTGACTTGACATCCATTTGAAATATTGGCCATTTGAATTGAGCAGCTTGTGAGATGAGTAATCGAATTGTCTCCATTCTTGCAACGGGTGCAAATATTTCGTCATAGTCAATTCCTACTTTCTGCTTGTATCCCTTTGCAACAAGTCTCACCTTATACCGTTCTATTTCGCCTTGAGCGTTCATCTTTTTCTTGAATACCCACTTCACACCAATGGGTTGAGTTCTTTTTGGTAATTCTGATAATTCCCATGTGTTGTTACGTTCAATTGACTTAATCTCTTCGTTCATGGCAGTTTTCCATTTTTCGTCTCGCAATGCTTCTTCGAGGCTAATATTTTCAATATCTGCCAAAAGAAATACAAGGTGTACCTCTTCTGTCATATCATACAAATCTTGTAGACTTCACATTCTGGGTTGTAGAGGTTCATCTTCATTGTCATAATCTTCAAGATCTGTTGAAATGCTTGTCGATACATCAACTGATGATTCTCTATCTTCGACGATGACATCTGTCGAACTATTCCAGTCCCATTTGCTCACTTCATTTATTCAAACGTCTCTACTAACTATCACCTTCTTGCTCATGGGATCGAATAGCCTGTACCCTTTTGTTTTCTCATCATACCCAATGAATATGTACTTCTGACTTTTGTCTTCGAGCTTCGTTCTTCGTTGATCCGGTACGTGTGCATAAGCCACACTACCAAATATTTTAAGATGAGAACGTATTGGCTTTTGTCCGCTCCATGATTCTTGTGGTGTTTGATCTTCTAACTTTGAATGTGGACATCGATTCTGAACATAAATGGCACATTGTACCTCTTCTGCCCAGAATTCTTTCGACATATTCTTGCTCTTTAGCATTGATCGAACCATATCTAGAACTGTTCGATTTTTCCTTTCAGTCACACCGTTTTGTTGAGGTGAATATGGTGCAGTTAGAAATATTATTATGCCCTGCTCTTCACAATAGTTCATAAAGGCTATCAAAGTATACTCACCACCTCTGTCAAATCGAACGACTTTGATGTGTCTGTCAGTTGCCTTCTCCACCATTACTTTGAACTTTTTGAACACCTCGAATGCTTCAGATTTTTATTTCAAGAAATAAACCCAAGTTTTTCGTGAGAAATCATCGATAAAGGAAATGAAATACCTTTTGCCACTGAAAGATTCCAGAGTGATAGGCCCACATATGTCGGTATGAATCAGTTCGAGAATATGTTTAGCTTGATATTCCGTCTTCTTTTGAAATGAGGTTCTTGTTCGTTTGCTAAGCACACATTCTTCACAAAACTCTCCCTCATAGTCCATGTCTGGTATCCCGTGCACCATGTTCCTCTTTGCTAACCTCCTCAAACCAGCATGATGTAGATGGCCAAAACGTAGATGCCATAGTGACGCTTTATCTTCGATATTTACTTGCAAACAGTTTTCTCGAATACTTCTCAAGTTCAGTTTGTACATTCGATTTCTCCCCTTTTCGACTTGATCAATCAGATGCCCTTTCTTGTCCTTCAAGTGTAATATCTGATCTTTCATGAGTATCAAATAACCTTTTTGTGTGAGTTGTCCCAAACTCAAAATATTGGTTTTTAGATCTGGTACATAATAAACTTCTTGGATTGACCCAGTCAAGTCATCCTTCTACAAGTAACGAATTGTACCTTTTGCCTTCGACCTTCACTTTTGATGCATCTCCGAAAGATACATGACCATCTTCAATCTTTTGCAATTCTTTAAACAGATGTTTGTGACCACACATATGATTACTTGCCCCTGAGTCGAGATACCACATATTGTCATTTTTCTCATCTACTTCCTTTTGAGTCATCAACAGAAAACCTTCATTTGCTTCGGCTTCCAAAGCTAAATTGGTTGTTTCTTCTACCAACTTTTCGACTCGAAAATATTTTGCAAGATGTCCCACTTTACCATAGTTATAGCATTTGTAGGAGTTACAATCATTCACATAATGACCGTACTTTTTACATTTGTAACATTCGATGTTGGAATGGTTCGATCGACCACCTCTTTGTCCACGTCCTCTGCCACGCCAGTTTTGCTGGCTTGACTGTCCTCTCTCGAAGTTGCTGCCTCGACCACTTCGACCATTGTCACGACCTCCACGACCACGTCCTCTACCTCTAAATTTTGAGAGTAGAGTACCTTTTCATCTTTGATTGACTCCTTAGTTTTGTGTGCTTCCTCGATTGCTTCATCCTTCTTTTTCATCTTACGTTATTCGTGTGCTTCGAGAGAACCAGTGAGCTCTTCGACTGAGAGCGTTGAAAGGTCCTTCGACTCTTCTATTGCACACACAATATTCTTAAATTTGTCTGTTAAAGATCTCAGAATCATTTCGACAACTCAAGCATCAGTCACTGTTTCGCCATTTCTAGTGAGTTGGTTCACCACTGTTTGTACACGCGTGATGTAGTCAAATACTTTTTCTGACTCCTTCATCTGCATCCTCTCCAATTCGCCACAAAGGGTTTTGAGTCGAACATGCTTCACTCGATCTGCTCCTTTGAACACTTTTTCTAACGTGTCTCATGCTTCTTTCGACGTAGTCGAACCGACAATTTTTTCAAAGCCTGATTC